TGTATTACTTTCTGAGTAGATGCTGACTGAAAACTTGACTCACTAATTTTTTTTTAAGAAGTGAAGTTTCTACTGAGACTCTTAAAAATCGTTCTTTGAATAATAAAAAAAGATCAATTTCAATCAAATAACTCTTCAGTTTTGCATATACAGCAGAAGACTCCACTTTCTTCCTAGAATATTAAATGTGTGGTTTGAGTAATGACTTCTTTCTTGTGTAATAAGGATTGGCTAGTTTGTCAGGAGAGAGACAAACAGCATGAGAGAATTGAAAGTAGTATGGGAGAGGAGAAGTAAAACAAAAAGAAAGTAGATTCAGATAATAAGGTAGAATCAAGTAGAGGTAGAATAAAACAATCAATATACAGAAATAATTTAAGAGCACCCAGCTGCAGCATAATGATTCCCCTGCCTCCCCCCCCCCCCCCCTTTATGTATTGTTCTGCTACAAGTGTAGTCTGGACAAATACAGGTTTTTTTCTTATTTGGCCAGTCCTTGCTAAAGCAGTCTCAGTCCTGACAGATCAACTACGGAGGGAGCAAGAGCTGTTATTACTGTGTTGTGCCTGAGGAGCACTGGGTGATGCAAGGAGGATGGTGAGTGCTGCAGTTCCCTTAGGCTCTCCCTCCCCTGCACTGTAAAATTAATGTACAAGGAGTACATCTGTGCTCATGGCTCTATGTTTTTATTTCAGTGATGCGCAGAAACATATTCAAAGCTTTTTAAAAAAATCTCATTCATTGAAGACTTAAGTTCTGGCTGTTAAGAGTCATGGCTACTTACTAGCTGCTTGTAACGGACTACTTCTAGCATAAGTGATCCATATGCTGTATGTTGTAATACCAAGGCACTGCTAAGTGAGAAAGTAGATTATTTTTCTTTTAACAAGAGTTTAGCTCTTTATCGTGGTAATTTTTGTGGGTGGAATCTGAAATATCAGAGGAGAAGAATAGCAGTGCACAAGCTGACGCTCCCTGTAGTTATTTGGTCAAGTTGAAATGATATAAATTCTTGTCTTGTCATTCAAAAGGCTAAAAATGGCCCAGACCACCAAAGTAATTTTTTTCTTTTTTTCTTTTTTTCCTCATAACTTATGCTCTACAGATGCTTATAGTACTGAGTCAGACAGATGTAATTTGAGTGACTATCCATCTTGGCTCAGTTCTCCACTTGCCCTTGGTAGCTAAAGAAATCTATGTAACCATGGAATAATATTAGTTCTTCCAAAACTGAACGCAGCTTTGAGTTGAAACTACTCCTACAGATGCTGTAGTGGAACAGCTGCTGGAATATTACAGCTAGAGATGTTACCTTGCAATACTTCTTGTTCTGGACATAGCTCTTGTCCTTTCTTTATAGCATCTGGTGTAACGTGTATCAGAATTGTAGCTCAAAATCTTATGGATCAAATATCTTCCTAGCACTTTGTCCTCAGTGAGTTTGTTTTTATGTTGTTATCGTGCACGCAGTATTGTGCTAACTCAGATAGCAGTGGTTTTTTAGTATCCCTCTGTTACCTCTTGAAGTCCTGTTTGCCCTCAGTTTCTCTGTCCAGGCTGACCAAACCCACAATACTAAGATGACCTTCTGTTTGGTTTTTTTATCCCTAATTAATTTTTTTCTATTCACTGCTTATTCTCACTGTTAAGGACGTATGCAGTCCCTTTTCTAGTTAGAGCTCTGATAGTTTCTTTTTCTGTTCCTTCGGAACTCTGCTTTTCCCCTGATTTTTTTTCTGCTTTGCATTTGAGAAGATGACAACAGTCTTTTGATCAAATGTAAATAGTGAAATATGGAATCTGAAAACATAAATCACTGTGTATGTCATACACATTCTTAGTGGTTACTCAGCGATAATACTATTCCGGAAAAGGTAGCTTTGTAAGCATAAGGACTAATGAAAATTTGTTTCCTACAGACTTTTGTGTAATGGTTGATCAACTTTGGTGTCTAAGATACAAGGTCTAATGGAATCTTTTCTCCTGGACAGACCATTTATAAGGCTCTCTCCTATATGGATTATCTGATATCTGATAAGGACGGCGCTTACACTCCAGAGTTTTCTTCAGCAGGGAACTTACGAAGTCTTTATTGCCTACCTTGTTGTCTAAAGCTTTTAGACGCTTAAATATTTCTGCCCTCAGTGTCAGAATTGGTTATAAATGACCATTCTTGTTCACAAATTATTGAAGGGTGACGATAAATACACACATGGATGAAGTAATGTTATTTCTCTTGGAAACTGCAAAACCCAAAAACATTTCGTTTGTAAGTAGTCTTCAAAGCTATAAAATGCTTTCTGGCTCTGACCTTTAAATTGGTGTAGCCCTAGGATAGCTTTGTCATTATTTTGGCTGAATGAAATAAACATCTACAGCTTGACAGCATTTCTCTGTACCTGCCTGTGTGAAGCTTCAGTAGCTTCTGAAAAATGTCCAACCAGCTCAGGAATTTCAGGAGATATTTTAAGTATCAATGAAGAGAACTCGGGTTGTGATGTTGACAATGCGGGGGGGTGAGGGAGGGGGAGATGAAGTCCTACTTATGATTTGACCACTATGGGCATGAGAGAGGAATCTTGGATTTAGGATGAGAATTCAGATTAGTATGCCCCTTGCTCTGCCTAGTTCAGGCCTTGCTCTTTGGAGCTCTTCACTTTCAACTGGGTCCTGTTAATTTTCTAGGCATATTGGGCATACATGTGCTAGATGTAAATGAGTTAGCTTGCTATTGGTGTTCATCTACTGCAGCGTGGAATTTAGTTTGGGCTAGCTTGCCTGTTGAGCATCACTCAACCCAATCCAAATTCATTACTGGTATTAGGAAACCGCTACTTATACTCCAGATAGATATTTTAAAACTAGTTCAATCTATATACAGCATATTGCAGTGGTTGCAGGATAATTGGGCATGTACAGAAGCAAGGTTCTGATTAAAAGACAGAACTTTCTTTCCTTACTGCAGTAATACAAAGCCCTCGGGCTTTCCTGTGATTTTTTTTTGACTATGTAGCAAATACTTTAAAAATTCAACCTGATCTGAAGTCCTTTCAAGTTTTTACTTCAACTGAGGAATGGACGTGAAGAAGAACAGGACTCATTTCCTGCTAAGTCCAAATAGATAATATTTATTGTTCTATGACTTCATTTATTTTTAAGCTCAGTAACGAAATCGAATTTGAAAACTAAAAAGTTTAGTACTTGCATAAAATATTGTCAGTTCAGGACCCCAATTGTTTTATTTTTTTTTTAATCCTAGTACCCAGTGAAATTTCTATAACTATTTATTTGAAAGACAGCAGTGGTGGTGCTGCATGGGAGTACAATGTTCTTTCTGGGATACGAGCCCCCCTCCTGTGCTCCTTATAACAGCTCATTTTGTCCTTTTTCAATATAGTAATTTTAGTGGTTTGGAACTTTATGGTAGTTATCCTGAATAACAGTTTCATATTTCCAAGCACAGTTTGCAGCTGCCAGGAAAAATAAACTTGCATTTTCAGCTCATTCAGAGCAACTGTAACTAGGGGTATTTTAAACTGGGGCAAAACTAAGAAACTGGAAAATAAAGCTTGGCCTGGTGCTTCCAGGGCATCCTGAAATATCATTTTTATCAAGATATAATTAAAGTGCTAATGATTATTGAATCATGGGATAACGAGTCTTTAGCTTATAATTTTTGAAAACTGTTTTCTTTCATCTAAGTATGATTTCTTTGAATTTATCCCAATGTCTCAAAATGTCTTTTTTTCTTTTTCTGTAATGCAAGGGATTCTTACATTTGACTTAAACTGTTTGCAGTTTTCCAGCTTTCTGATTTTCATAGTCATTGTGTTAAAATTCTTGTAACAGTTGATGATTGCAAGAAAGGTTAAAGCGTGTTTTAAGCTCTCAGTACACAAACACACAACTGCTTTTTCAGCTGCCACCCATTTTCCATCTTTCATGTCTCTTTTTATATTTGTTGCTTTGAGGTTGTCTCTTTAGCTGTATTATGAGTGATCTAAGTCTTAATTCTAACCATCTCCTCTCAAATACATTTATGCTGTGACCCAAGAACAGGGTAAAACCTGTCACGTTCAGGGATCTGTGCTGGTAAGCAGATGCTTACATGTCCCCTACTGAAGTGTCAGACCTTCTTGGATTGGTCTGGCTGATTTATTTACTCAATATCCATTCCTTGTGCAGGTTCAGTTCTGCATCACTTGTAAACTGAGCATTTTTTTCTGGAAGTGAAAATGATTAAAATACACAGGAATAACTGATATACTGAGTAGTAAGTACGTATCAAAGTCAGAGCACATCTATCTTCATATTTATGAATAATAATTTGATCACTTACAAAAGTATGTTTCTCAATTTAAGAAGTGGTCTTTCAGTTAGATGTGTATTACGTACTCTGTATTTTTTTTAATCAGTGATGAATACTTCATACCTAGTAAATGGGTTACATTTTCCACAACACTCAAGTGCCATGGACACTACATGATAATAATTAGTCCCTTACTCATTTGAATTATTTTTGTAAAGATTGCTGGATTACATCATTCTATTCACGTTCCACTTTTCATCTTGCCTACTTCAATCGGATATGAGTAAATACCATTTTTCTGGTTCAGGCGATCACAAATTAATTAAGGAGATAACTTTGGAAAACACAGCATTTTATTTTAAATTAATACATCAAATATAATTCAGAAGTACTTCAGTTTAGAATTCCAGTGGGAGTTCCCACATAGTAAATTGCATAGTTGATATATCATGTGAAGTTTCCAGTAAGCGAAAGTACTGCTATAGCTTGATTTCATTTTTCTAATGTAGAATTTTGTCTTTATTATTTTGTTAAAGCAATAATATAATCTGATCATAAATGCTCCAGAGCAGTAAATGATTTAAACTATTCAGATTTATTATTATTATTATTGTTATTATTTAGTGTCATTCAGATTTTTTTTGTTCAACTTGTTTCTTACAAACAATCTTACAATTTTATCTTTTTCTAGATGTCCCGGGATGAGACAGTGTGTAAATACTGTGGAGTCAGCTATTTGATACTTCATGAATTTAAGGTGATGGAAGAAAAAGTAAAAGCAATGGAAAAGGAGATTAAATTTTATGAAGGAAGTATAGAACGGGAAAAAGGACTTCAAGCAGAATTGCAGTCTCTTTACCAGGACCTTGAACACTATCGAGCTGACAGTGAATCAAAAACAGAAAGGTCAGAGCATATTATGTAGTCTGATGTTATTCTCGTGTATGTGTATTAGGTAATTTCATTCCAAAGAAGTTTAAAATACAAATAAGATTTGTCTTTTATCAGATGTAACATATATACTGTAACACTTAATTTAAATAATCTTTCATAGTATTCTCTGGAAGCAAGTTTTAAATTCCTTAATAGTGTAGAAACAGTCAATATATTTAAAGTGAAAGAAAGGCCAGAAGGCATTTCAGAGGTATTTCCCCTGCACACACTCCCAAAGGGAAATGATCAAATATTTTATCTTATAATTTTGTAATAAAATTGTAATATTTTAAATGAAATTCCACATTTTGGGGAGTTTCACAGTTCTGAAATTTTTACTTATTGTCTCATAGTAACATGGTAAAGAATTACCAGCGTTCTTACCCTGAGAAGCTTACAGTTCACTCTCTGAAGGGATGATACAGAATACTAAAGCAATTATGAAAATCTTGGGTACTGCTTGTGGCGTTGTTCCTCAGAAACAGGAGTTTGCAAATGCTTACTGGCAGGTATGTAAAGGTCCCAATTAAAGGGGGAGTTTTGCACTCTTAAGAACTCTAGCAGTTAACAATAGACCTCAGAGCCACATTTATATTTTTAGGGCACAATGATTAGAACCTTTGTGTTCTCTTTCAGCTCATACTTACAGGCTTTTGTTGTGTTCTGCTTCTTTATCACATTGCAATAACTTTAAACTTAGAACAGGAAGACATACTTTGAAAATATTTGTCCTTTTGATAGGCCTACAGCACAGCTTTGGTTCCTAAACATTCAGATTGGTACACCAAATATAAAAGTTCATTTTGGGGTGGACATGAGAAAACAAAGCATAAAAGGAAAGTTTCAAAGACTACTTTCCCCTCTACCCTTCCTTCATTCATAATTTCTAATATTTTTCCTATTCTTTGGGTTTGCAGTAAAGGGTGCAAAGGTAGCTATACCCAAACTAGCTTTAAAATACATGGCTGATTCATGTACTCTAAGTGGCATTACTGAGGCAGTCCAGTGGCTGCAGAACCTGGTGTCCACCTGTGTTAGGTTTTGTGCCACCGTAATTAGAGTGCCATCAGCTTCTCAGCCATGAACTTCAGGCTAGCTTGTTAGCTTTGATTTGTCCATCCTCAGTGGTTATTTATACTGTATAAAGAACTTAGACTGAGAGGGAAATTGTTGTAGTCAATGTGAACATTTTATGATATAATTAGCTTTGTGGGTGGTTTTTTTAGCCTTATTTTTGCTGTAGGATTTCTGGACTGATATTTCTGGTTCCTAATCATCCTTCTGTTGCTTTTATGCTGTTTTATGACACCATGACAGTATAACAAATTTCATAATAACAAATTGTATCTTTTCTGCACTGTTCTGTGAAAGAAATACAAGCGTTTTGGCCTCTTCCAGACCTGAAGCTCTGAAGAACTGCCCTTCCTTTTTTTCCTCTTATCTTCTACTCTTCATAGTCAGATTTAACATGGATACTATATGCTGGTTTTCTGTATCCTAATTGTCTATCCTCATATTTTGGAATCTATTGTTATATTCCACTGATTGTTTACAGTGGGAGTATAAACACTGGTATTTATAGTTGGCTAATAAAAAATACTTTATAAAAATGTAGTTGCTAAAGTTGACTACTGATAGAATAACGTGATACAAACAAGGGCATCAGAAACTTCCTGGTAATTTCTCGCTCATCTGAATCAAACTGTCAGAAGCTTTTTGTAAGAATGAGATTATAATTTTAATTATCAGCTCAGTCATTTTGATTCTGAAGACCCCCAATAGGGGTGTTTTCTTGCATGACTGACTCATACCTAGTAACAGGTGATCTTGAACTGATAACGTGGGGCATTTTGAGTATTAAGGTGCTCTCAGGAGGTTGCACTGGAATGCTTTGGAAACACTACAGAAGAAACAACTATAGCTTGTCTATAGGTGAAGCACTCAAATCCATTTACTACTTTTTTTTTTTCCAAATAACTCAAATGTTAAGAATTTAACATTACTATTAATGGATTTAGTTAGGCTTGTGTTTGGTAATATTACTAATAAAAGATTAATTTTAAAACACAAGTTCACACAAAGCTGAACAAAACGCATATATCTTGTAGATCACTCTACTCATATTGTTTCTTGCAATATTTTTTTCATTTGAACTGAACATCCTCCAACCCCCCCCCCAATATTCAATGTTTTCTCTGGTTTAACACTGTATTTTTGAAGAGCGCATATGCTCCTTGTTCCTTTAACGGCTCTGCGCAGCAGTTATGGTGGCAGTATTCAGTGTGTTAGCAAATGCAGTGACAGCACATTCTTCTTGCTGAGGATCATTTGCCAGAGGTAAACTTAAAATTTTCATTTAGCTGACCTTTTGCAGTAAAGCTGGAACAGTTAATAAAAATTTTATCTCTGCATTTTTTTTCCTCTAAGGCTTGACTTGATTTAAAACCTGCTGAAATCAAGTGGAATACTTTCAGTAGGCTTTCAGTCAGGCCATAAATCAACTATTGTGCCTTGTTAAGTAACTTGTCTAAATATTCCTTATCTCCTCTTTACTATCCTGGGCCTCTCATGTTACCTTGTGCTGTTGGCATAAACTTACTATTCAACATGCTATCTTCTGGTTCTTGCAAGGTTGACAAATCATTCCTCCCAAACTCCAAATGTTTATCAGAGGCCAAATAGGCCTTTTTTTTTTTTTTTTAAATCTCTGGTAGACCAAGAGATTTAATCTTTCTTGTTAGTTGCAGACTGTTTCATTTTTATATTCCTTTTAGGTTAAAGTATTGCTATTGTTTGTACCTGTTGTTAACCTTGAAAGCCACCCAAGAACCTGAGCTTTTGCAGAAATTAGTTACCTGCCCTTTGGGATTTTGTCAGAAGAAGGGGAGCTAACCATTGTGCAGTTAACTACACTGATTCGATTTAGCTATTTAAGTTTTATTCTTATTCCATATTAAAATCACTTCAATTCCAGAATACTTGCATGAGAGCTATTCCTGAAGGGTTGTGGCTAGCTTAAAATAGCAATGTCAGTCAATACACGTGCCAACTTGAGGTAGGCTGTGCAGCTGGTAACTGCATTGTGCTCTGCGCTGTTGGCTTTTCTTCTAAGAGATACTGGCTACTGTCTGCAAGAGCAATGATTCATGCTTAGTTAAGCTGAAATGCTGCTGTGTTGTTCGACTAACCATTTTTGGTGTGTTGCCTATTTAAACATATTAGTAACAGGCACTTTAATTGGGGGCTTACTTCTCTAATTCATTGGAGATAGCTAAATCCAATCATGCTTCTATGTCGCTGTGTGGGACCCCGCCAGATTCCCGGAGTCCCTAAAGCTGAGTATATTAACAGTTTTTCTCTGGCACTGTCTTTTGACATTTGTGACACTGTGTGAGGGGTACACCATATTTGTGGTGAGAATTTTGATAATTCTCGCAACATCCAATATAAGAAATGTAAAATAGATTTAAATACTAAAGATGCTTTTTAAAGGTATAGTAGTGATGAATATCATGAATGTGACAAGGAGCAAAAATGTTTTATGATGTTTAGACATGTGAAGAGGCGTATAGATACCACTTAGCGAGTCCTATGTCAAAGATCCCTTGTAAATAGATTCCTGAACACTTTTTTACAAATCTAGCAGGAGGAGTTACTTGTTGGTTACTACCATGAGACTTATGCTCCTGAGTCACGCATGTAATGTTGAAAATTTTATCCATAAATAATAAAATCTTAAAGGTAATGTAAACCTAACATTTTAACTTGTGGAAACTGTATTTTTCCATATTTGTGTTTTCTTGAGTTCATTGGTTCCTACCACAATAGCAAAACTTAATACCATGGAAAATGCTCTGTTCTTGAATTTGCCTAAAATAAATCTTCCTTTTTGCAACATGATTGGTTAGGAAAGCGACAGCAACTACCTGGCTTTGTAAAGTCTAAACTTTTAATAAACACTAAAGTCACTGGGCAGTGATAACAGCACACTGCTCTACCCTTAGCTACCAACCTACGCAGCAGTTTGGTAGAAATGATTGTGGTTTCTTGTCCTAGGAGACTGAAAATACTGAAGAGTATAGGGAAAAAGGAGTGGTACATGCTTTAAGAACTGTGTCACCATTTTAAAAATAGGTTTTGAAGGGGAAGAACACAAGGCAAAAAGGTCACTTTAACAGACTTAAAAAAAAAAAGTCTGTTTCTGTTGAACACTTAGTGATAAAGTGGAGTTGAGTTGGTGTAAAAAATCATTGAGAGCCAAATCTGAATGAAATAAACAAAGAGGTAAAGAACTAACCTCTCCTTTTCTGAATGTGGTTTAGGGCATACAGCTAGTTATTCTTATTATATACTATCATATGTGGGTACCTTGGGAGATTGCACATCTTTTGACTGTTTTAGAAAGCATGACTAATGAACAAAACATTATAACCACTGCAGAACATGTATTTTCAAAATGATATTGGTGTATCATCTAATGCATAAGAAGTCAGTTCATAAAGTAGTAAATGAGTGTTCTTGATCACACTACAGATGTTCTGTGCGAGTTTCAGGTGTGTGCTCCTTCAGTGGCTGCTTGGAAGAGACAAGTAAATACAACAAGCTGCCGAGAAGTATCAGCTGGGCATGGGATTCAGTGAGTCCTTGGGTTTTGCACTCATCATTTCCTAGCAAAAGGAAATAATGTAGTGGTTTTTCATTGCAGGGAGAATATACAGCACATAAGTACTGGAATTTTTCTGTCTCTTTATGCATTTGATTCTACTTCTAGGTAGTTCAAGTTGCAGTGTTTAGAAGCGCACAAGGGCTGGTTTGTACTTGGAAGCGCTGTGTGTGAGTTTTCTGAAAAGAGGATTATGAAGTTTACTAAGAAATAGTGCCTTCAACTTTTTTATTGAATCTGTTTTGTAAATAACATAATGGTCTGTACTTCTCTAATTAGCTACATGATAATTTTAGGGTGTACTTATTAA